GTGTTCTAATAATCTGTGTCATGTTCCTGGAGTGTGGACGAACTGCTAACATGACAAAATCCTCTTTGAGCAACTTCCTAGGGGAATTTTACAAATCATCTGATGGAGTCCCTTCTCCACTAACAGCTAATCTTGCTTATCTGTAGTAAAACTGTGCTGCTTAGACTGGCCCACGCAGCCTCCTTCGGCAGGCTGCTTTAATTCTTGGTTTGCTGAGTGCTGTAACAGGTGTGTGCCCCCTCCTGCAGCTCCTCTTGTGTTGGTCTGAATTGGGGTCATAGTTTTAGGAACGGCGATGCTTTGGCTGCTTCCTCTTCCACCTCTGCTGATGTCTGTCCCAAAGGAAAGGGGGTATTGATGTTTTCTTCTCATAGGCAAAAGGGCGATGAAGAAAGCTCAGATGACAAGAGGATGTGATGGAAGACATTGCATCCTTTTTTATTCCTAGTGCAAGAAGATGCCTCTCTGCTTCGTTACCCCAGCAGCTGCTGCTAACCCCTGAATGGCAGTGCTGTTGGGATGGGGAAAACAGTATAAAATGGAAGAGCTGAGTGACAGCTTGTCAAGATGCTTGTCGAGAAGCTGTTTTTCAGCATACTGCTGACTTCTTTATTTTGTTGTTGTTGTTGTCCTCATTCCTGTCCAGGAATCTCTGATATACCCTGCTCTGGCTGGTTTTCGGGTATTGTGCACATACGTGAATTTCCTGGCAGTAGCTTCAGCATAGCCCCAACTCTTCCTACAGTTGTGTAGTTCAGAATTAACACAGGTTTTTTGCTGTTTCTGGAGACAGTAATGTGGAACAGAAATATATCTGTCTGTAAAGTTCTGGGTTGTGGTTGGGTGACTACTCTGTGGTGGAGTGACTGGCCCCTGGCACCAGTGTGTCTGAGGGAGAAAGCTGTTGTGGTCGCCTTTGTGACAGGGTTCCCTACTGTGGCCCTCGGCCCTTCCCAGCTGAACCTCCTGGCAATGCTGTTGCGGGCTGTGCTTGGGATTGTTTGCTCGCTGTGTAAACTGCAGGAGGCTAATGATAGGGGAAATTCTGATGTGGAGTCCTTTGTGTGGTGGGTGGTGACCGCTGTGTGCCAAACCCCTTTAAAATATACACTGGTGTGGTATTGCAAAAGAGGAGAAAGCTTCAGGGGTCTGATTCTGCTGGTGCTACGTACCCTTAACCTTTCCCATAATGTTCTGTGGGAGCACGTGGCTGTTGAAACCCCAGTGTAGATGGTTTTTTGATTCTGGTCAGCTTTGACAGGTATCCTCTTCAGTCACTTTTCAAGGCAGTTTTCTTTGTGTCGTAGACACAAGGAAGGAGGATTTTGTGTTGCTTTTTTGTTTCTTAGGATGGGATATATTTAAGGTATTGGGGTGAGCTGAATATTGGCATTGGGGGAACCAGACTTACCACTGTAGTGTGAAAATGACATTCAATGGCCATCACCAGAATACTTTCTTAAAATCTTCATAAAATACTGTTCTGTTAGATGTAATAATTTTGCAAGTGCACTTAACAGAAGCAAGGTTCTTGGTAGAGATGGTTTTGAACATGGACACCAGTTCAAGTTTAAAGGACAGATTGAAGAATTTAGACACGCTGTCTTAGATGTAGTGTCAAAGCTAACCTTCTTGTTTCTGAAAAGAATCACCCATTTTTCCTATTCTGCCTCCAGAGTATTTCTTTCAAATGTTCTAGAAACTTTAAAAATGTGTCCTCAGTATCCACTCAAACGATTGTGGCAGCTTGGTGGTGCCTGCGTAGTTAGGTAACTAGGCACCAATTAATAACCTCAGAATTTTGGAGTATCGCTTTCTCATTGCCATACAGTACCTAGGGACTCTTTCTAAAGATAAATCTCTGCAAAAATGTTTATTTTGCCAGTTGTCCACCCCTTTTTCTTCTAGATTCCTTAATATATATTGTTTGCACTAGTTCATGATAAATATTTGGGCATCTGTGAATGAATGGAAAAATAACACAGGCTTACAGCAAGGCAGGAGCACAGCAGTTTGTATGTGCTCTACGTTCTGTCCAGACCAGTAAACAGAATGGCACTCTGTGTGCCCAAGGGAGGTCTCTTATCTGGCCATCATCCCCTCTGATCCACACGGAGTTTTTTTGAGAGCTTGCTTGGGCTCTCAATCAGAGATGCCACAAATAAAAGTAACTTTCTCTAAATTTAGACCCAAGGATATATTAAGATTCTGTTAGAGCATCCCCTCTAGCTACATGATTCTGGGGTTCTTCTCACGGTGCTGATGTTATCCTTAAGCCTCAGTGGATTCAAATCAGTCTAGTAATAAGCAGGTGTGACTAATAAGAAAACAAAGCCTACAGTTCTTGTGGGGCTGATTTTGAAAACACATTAAAAAACCCTAAACTCGCTTTGCGGCATATTTAATTCTTGTATTTTTAGGTCATACATATGTGTCAACAAGGAGCTTGCGTACAATGTGAGCAAAGCTTTTAATCTCAAATTAACTCTACCCTTAGTGATAAAAAAAAGAAAAATCTGTAGGTTGATGTATTGTAAGAAATTAAGAATTAGGTGGCTTGAACTCTTTCGCTGAAAATTCAAGCTGAGATCTTAGTATCTCCTCTTGTCGAACAGAGTCTGCTCTCACATATTATAGGAGAAATAGAAATTGTTATTAATTGAAGCTCATGTTATTTTTATAACTAGCTCTGAAGTCGTATACCTGTGTCTAATGGTCATAGCAGGGACTTTGATTAACTTGTAACGGGCTCCCTTGTTAGTGAGTCTGATGTGGTGTTGGTCAAGGACGTGAGAGTGTATGCTTGGAGATTGCCTTCAGCCAAATCAGGGATGTGCTGTAAGCTCTTTCCTCGTGCCCGTAG